TCTCTCTCTCTCTCTCTCTCTCTCTCTCTCTCTCTCTCTCTCCCTCTCACACCGCCCTTTGCCCAACCTCAAGATTTTGAGCCGTGACGTATTTACTGACAGGGACACGCGAGTTTTCACACCGGTGCTCCATCTGCTTGCGAGGGCGAGTATTTGGGGGAGATATACTGCGCCTCGCTCTTGAGACGCTCTCACCGTTTTCTTTCCGTTATCACCCGGAACTGTCAACAAGCATACCTGCCGCTCGGTCCACCGCAGGACTCTCCACCGGCTCTCTGACCTGCAGGACTGTGCACACACAAGTCGTGTGGAAGTTTTTTGGACACGTTTTCCAACATAAAAAAGTGAGATTGTGCCAAAAGATGTTGGATCGTTGTAACAAAACTCTTCTACCTTTGTTCTTTGGATGCCTGGCTTGTCTTGTGGGGACATCTGTTGTAAATGCAGACGGTAAGTTAATATTTTATTCCTTTTTAATAGAAAAAGAAAATTATTACATATTGTTTTATACGTGTGACGACAAGCTTCATTTCACATTAAAATTGTATTCCCACTCATAATAATGAGTTGCAATATCAGGTGGTTTCCAACATAAAAGTTAGATTATGGTGCAGCAGCAGCGCTAACCGTTACTTATAATTGGCACATGCCCAAGTTAGTCTTATCAGTATTTTCCCTTTCCCCATTAGCAATAATGTCCAAATAGTTAGATTTAAGATGTTAAATATAAAAGCACATTTCTTTGTGATCCTGAAAACCAGCTAATGATGTGACAATGAGGTGATAATGATGCTCCTGTGATGCAGTAAAGTGACCACATCTGTAGCCAATACACATACATAAATCAAACTTTATGAAGCACATTTTCATGTTATGTCTCCAAAATATAGTTTTTATTATGTTGTAAAATGAATTTGGAGCGATCATGTCATGAGATGATATGCTGAAACCTTAATTACCAAAGCAATGTCTTGATACATTTATGATTTACTATAGTGGTATTCAATGCAAATCTGCATCATTGCACACATAATTAGCTATATATTTCAATATAATTGTCTAAATCCATACGTGTGAGTTGCTGCCTTAAAGTATCCTTTCACATGAAATAAAACAGACAACCTGCTTTACTTTGAGCAACCTCAACAATGTATGACCAATAAATGTAAGCCCAACATTATGCAATATAATAATAACAATTATATTAATAGATAATTCATCATTAGTTCTTTATTGCTTTACAATAAAGCAAATGAAACATAGAATGAACATTAAAAGGGTATAAAAGTGAATGGGGAATAGGATGGAAAATAAAACACACTTGGGAATAATAGTTACATTTAAGATACAAAAATAAAGCAAGATCAAATAAGAGGAAATAGAAAACTGAAAAAAGTTGGAAAATAAAACTGATTGAATAATAACAATTTGTTTTTCAATCCAGATTTGCACCATGCACATACACACAAGAGAACAGAACAACAAAAGCTCTATAGTCTCTTCTACTCTGTTTTAAACCTTGTATATTGGGATAAATATTTGAATATATAAGGTTTATCATATTGTATAAGAAGTTCTAGAGGTTTTTCCTCCTGCTTTTCTCTCCTCAGGTCGAGTGTTCGTGTTGGACATGAGGAACTCCTCCGGCCTGCAGGGCTTCAGAGATGCCGAGGGGGCTTGTGCCGCCCGACATGCCCGCCTGGCCTCAGCAGAGGAGCTGCATCACGCCGTGGAGGAGTGCTTCTTCTCCTCGTGCACCCGCGGGTGGCTCTACGGAGGCACAGTGGGGTAAGAAAATAAGTTTGTGCCTGATTTCTCAAGATGTCAAAGGTCATATTGCTGTGTGCGCTCTTGTGTGTGTTTGTGCGGCGGTTGAAGGAACAGATGAAACAGAGAGGAAGCAAAGGCAGCAGTGGCAGTTAAAGAGAGAGTGGGAAGATAGAAGAAGAGAGTGACACATTTCAGGAGGGAAAGAGAAAAAGGGAGAGAGGAAGAGCGGGAGAAAGACTCCTCTGTTCCTTCCTGGTGAGGGAGGGAATTCTGAGCCGGGGTGTCATGTCGACAACTGCCTCCATTTACACCTCTCATCTCCACGGTAACATGACACACAGCTTTCAGCACCCAGAGACAGAAGCAGACAGACAGGGAGTGAGACAGGCCAGGAGTAGGAAGACACACTGTTAGTTTATAGTGAGGTGATTGACAGTATGTTTATGCTGTTCTCTTGTGGTGATGAGAGGATTCATGATTGGTCTGTGGGGTTGATTTGAGGTGATTTCAGGTACATGGTGCTGACGTTACAAAGATGGTGGTGGGTTGATTGTGTTGTGTTCAAAAACTGCCTTGGATTCTTCGAGGTATTGGCAGAGGACTAACCTACTTCAAGCCCCCAATTGATTGTTAAACACAATTTCTAGGACCACATTTCCAAATAAGGGAGAAAAAACAACATGACCGAAAGAAGAAAGAATAACATGAGTAAAAAGTAAAGTCTCTGTTTCCGAATGGCCATTGTGAAGCTCAAACTGAGTGGCTCAGGCGAAGGCCATCTTGGTACCTACCCCATTGTCTAACTCCTGGATAAAACAAAAATGGGCATCATCCGTGGAGTTGAGGCGGGCCAAGGGGACACAGAGAGATAGTGGCTAACATCCTGAGAAGGCACCCACCTGTCATTCAAAGCGACAACGCCCAAATAATGCTTTTACTGAACCCTTAGTATATTGTAACGGTACAAATCACCCAAATATTCATGAATAGGGAAATAAGCTCTTGTACTCTGACACCAATACTTTATGACAATTCTGTGTAAAGTCGGGCTTTTAACATGGCAGTATATAGAGATTTACTCCCTTTTAGAGCACGCCTCATATGGTCATTCAATGATGACCTGTAGTTTTGTGCACTTCCTCACATACGTCATTGCTTTGAAATGACCCACATAAAAATGTAGCTTAGTCTCACTTGTCAATGCTTGCAATTGTTAAAATGTAATGTGTCCAGGATTATAATTTCTAAGATTTTGTATTCAAATTAGTTTGGACAGGATACTCATATCAATAGTATCATTCCATGCCTACTCAAAGTGCCTCTTCAAGTGCGTAACAAACAGAAAATTGGCTGAATTAGGTATTGCAACCTAACGATGGCTTATAATTCAAAGACTTGGACAAGATATGAAACAGAACCTGATCCAAATTGGGTCCAAGAATGACAAATGTCTCGTCGGAGGAAAAGCTGACACATTTATTCTTCCGTTACACTCCGTGCTCTCTTGGTGTTGGCCAGTGGACATCAGCTTTCACACCCTCTTACCATGTTTCACAGTGTATCACCCATCTATTGGTGTCTGTCTAAGCCGAGGGTATCCTTTTAACCCAGACCTTCTTCTCTCTCTGTCTTGATCTTGTGACCCACCCCAAATCTCAATTTTATTTTTTGGATGAATTCATGCGCCAAGACCATGGTGGTGCCAATATTTGAGCTCATAACATTTTATCAGCTCCTTGGATGTGGCCTTTTTATTTTGAAGCTGAATACAGAGTTCAAATGTTTTCACAGACGAAAAAAACGTCACTTAAAAGATCATCCTTGCATAACCTTTTTCCCCTATTATCTATTCTTAAGTCATCAGAGAATAAAGATATTTTTTTTCTCACTTACCTCTTATGGCTTCCACAAGTAACGCTGTGGTGTTAGTGCCAGTAAACCTGTAGTCCTTGAATTTTTTTAGGTCTATTGCATAATACAAAATGCTTCTCAGATGGACTCCCCTACCTTAACGTCTTCCTCTTACCTGTCAATCACAGATCTACTTCCCGGCAACCAAACACAAAATACCAGCCGACTCATCTACACACACATATCTGAGTTTTCCCTTTAAATACATTAAATTACCCTACATTGCATTTAGCTGACACTTTTATCCAAAGCGACCTTTGTTGTTAAAGGGGGCCTTTTTTGTTTTTTCTTACTTTCCTGTAGTGTGTTGTATAGGTCTTTGAGCATGTTAATGTTCAATCAATCAATCAATGTTTATTTATATAGCCCAATATCACAAATGTTACATTTGTCTCAGTGGACTTCACAGTTTGTACAGAATATCAGTATGACACCCTCTGTCCTTAGACCCTCACATCGTACAAGGAAAAACTTCCAAAAAAGGAAAAACCCCACAGTTTAACGGGAGAAACCTCAGGGAGAGCAACAGAGGAGGGATCCCTCTCCCAGGACGGACAGACGTGCAATAGATGCTGTGTGTAAATTGAAAAGATAATACATTTACAACTTAGGTAGACCAAATGTTTGAAAATCTGGAAAGGCTCAAATCCTAACGTTCTCTTCAAAGACGTTATTGAGCATCATATCTGAAACCGGAAAATTATCATAATAAGGCCCCTTTATCTATGATAATACACATACAAAAAGAAGCCTGGAGCAAGTTAATGTTAAAACAGTCTGTTTTTTGTCTCTCTCTAAATGTTTTCTTGGCGATTTCTGTCTTGCTGCCCGTTTCTCTCTCAGATTTTTGTCCTTATAAGCTCAAGTTAGCATGGCACAAGCATGCAGCATGACTCACACCACTTCTCACAAACTCACTGCTCTGCCAGTCAAATTCTTTCCAATTACTGATGCTTTGATTAACTTAATTACTGCAAACACCCACCCAAACCCACACAAGTATCCCTTTAATGATGCTTGATTAGTAATATCACCATGCAATATTATATGAAAAGTGTAATAAGTCTAACTTTTAATGATGTTTCGGAACTTTGAATTTACTTTCCACATGACGGTGATATGGGAGCTACATTTGATCCGTCTGGAAAGTAAGAGTCAGTCTTATCTGATGCTTTTGGATGACAAATAGGCTAATGATGCTATAAACGTTAACGTGGCAACAAAAATAGACTATTTACTCAGCATGTTTTTGCCACTACATTTTGTAGGCGTTACTAATTTTGTCTGGTGAATGTGTTATATTAAGTCGCTAATGTTTTGTTTGAATTTGGTTGTAACTGAAGGCTCCTACATGGGAACATCTATTAATGACCATAGTGTGATAATATTGTGCCAGAGGCTACAGCTGCTGATACTGCAGCATGTCTGAGCCATGATGTGTGTTTCTGGACACTGATGTCATTCTGTAATAATATTTAAATAAGCAACAAAGAGCAGCACGTATATCTGTTTGCGCATGTCGTCAGATTACCCGTTTACAAACCGAAGCTGCAGCTTTACGTGTGATACTGATCCGTGTGCAGAGATCTCACTTAAATGTTGTCAGTGGTGTAATGTTATAATAATATATGACATTATCCGACTGATAATACTGCACATTTGTCAGTAAGCAGCATGTAACCGTTGTAGCTGCTTAGGGGGAGGCTAGTTTGTACTACTTTTTGCTAAAGGTATTTCATCTAGTGGTTCCCAGCCTGTGGGTCAGTGCCATTCAGTGATTAATGAAGAAAAATAAAACAGTTATGATACATTATGCTGCCTAATACTTAAAATTTACTAAATAAATCAATAATCTGACACATAATAATGATTTCAAATGATTTTTTGTTACCATCAGAATTGTATCTAGCAGTTGTCTGCTATAGGGAAATAACAGACTGGTGTATTCTGTAATTGACCAATCAGATCAGAGTATTGAGCAACGCTGTCTAAAAATGTATTGCTCTTATTGTGTGTTTTTTAATGCGATGTTAATCTTAATCTAAAAAATGCTTCCATCCTTAATTAAATGCTTGGCTGTTCGGCTATATGCACCCATATCACATTGGAATTAATGAGTGTTTTTATCTCTATCTATCTAGGATGACGGTGTGTAACGTTGTGGGCAGTGCACTGAAAGCAGTGGATGTGAGAACAGAAAACGCCACCGAGGACTCTGAAAACCTGGACGCCTTCTGTATCAAAGACAGGGGTCAGTAAACACACCATACACACACATCATTTGTATTTGTGTGTGTGTATGTGGATCTTTCCTGAGATATTTACTGAGGTGTGAAAGAGTGTGTGTTCCTGCGTTTCATTCCATCTTCTACTTTCAACACTCTCCATCCTGTCAGTGTGTGTGTGTGTGTGTGTGTGTGTGTGTGTGTGTGTGTGTGTGTGTGTGTGTGTGTGTGTGTGTGTGTGTGTGTGTGTGTGTGTGTGTGTGTTTGCCAGTTCTATGTTTCTACTCAAATCTGTCGTCAAATACCAAACTTTCTGCCTCCTCGTGAATATCTGAGAGTGTGTGAAGGTATTACTTGATCCATGAATGTACGTAAGGCCAGACATAGCATTTCACACACTGGCCTGGATTTAAGAGGGGGGGGGGGGGGCAGTCAGTCGTTAGTTTTGGATCAGACTATTTGTTGGCATTACCTAGAAGAGGTCTCTAGTCTTTCCTCATAAACAGTAGAGCTCTTGTAGCTGTTGATACACAACACACACACTCTGCTGTGAGGAAAAATGTACAGTACAGATCAAAACAGATTTACAGGCAACATTTGTGCTTATATCGTTATAGTTATGATAGGAAGTATAGAGTGATATGTTAGCCCAATTCTAAAATGAAGATGTTAAAATGTCCACTTCAGGGCGCTTTAAAGATAATAATAAATAAAATAAAAAATCTAACAGGGCGTTATTTTACATTTAGAAAAACATGAAAGAGAATAACAGAAATAACAAAAAGAAAATAAACCTTTTTTTTGTCAAGAACATGTTAATATTTTTCAGATTAACTGTGTTGCCTTTTTATAATTACCATACATAATAAGACCAGAGTGAAGACAATACACAGCCTTTGCCTCTTCCCAGTGGCATTGTTTGTGGTTTTGTTTGTCAAAATTACATCCACATTTACCACAAAGCTCTTGCTTACCGCCCCATGCGTCATTCTAATCTCTTTCTGTTTACAAGTTGGATAGTCATGCTGTAAAACTGGATAATAATTACCACGAGTCATGTTTCATTAACCGTGCTGTTTAATCCTGAATATGGACTTTTTGTGTGTTGATTTGTTTTTGTTGACAGATGTGCCGTGTGGTGACCCTCCATCCTTTCCTAACGCTCATCTCCAGGAGCACTCTGGGTATGAGATGGGAGACGAGCTGCTGTACACATGTTTGCCCGGTCATGTCATGCCCAGTGGACGCAGTGCGTTCAGTCTGCTGTGCGACAGCTGTGGAGAGTGGTACGGATTAGTGGAGATTTGTGTCAAAGGTAAGAAGGTGTTTAAACAGTTTATGTTGCAGGAGCGGGAAAGAAATAGAAAGAGGCAGAAAACAGAAAGCCCCCCTTTTGTTCGTTTTTTTCAAAGCTTTGAGCTTTGACCGAGACGTACAGGAGAGCACTCTGAGGTCTACCTTCTCACTTCTTGCTTGTTAGCTCCCAGTGTTGTGAGGTGATCGGGCGGTGACTCTTTTTTGGAAAATAGACTCTCAGTTGTGAGTTGGAAATGGCTGCGATGACACTTCAGTGTGACATGCCATCGTGTGTCCCGGTTCAGAGGAAGAAGAAGAAGAGGGCAAGAGTTGTCCATGAAAGCAAAAGGCCAGGCTTGTGTCCATAGTTAGCTCACAGCGTCGTTGTCATGTTTGTGCGCTACAGCAGGAGTTCCTAAACAGTCCTAAAATAGTGTCACGGTGATCGAATGTTTTCAATACCACCGTGACAGATTGACATGAAATTGCAGGTTTAACAAGATAAGATATTTTTATGGAAAGATAAATATAAAAAGGCTAGTATACTAAGAGAGTGACTGTAGTAAACACTTACAATAATACAACTCTTACATTTGTGAAAACAATACTCTGAGACTGCCTCACTTTAAAAAAAAAACAACTAAATAATGTTTTTTATTTTGGCTGCTGTCCGTCTTGATAAATGAAATCTATTAAAAGAGATTTTTTTGTCAAGGACTCTTTTATTCTCCTTGAGATTAAACAAATAAACATTATATTTGATGTAGACTCGTCACCTGATCAAGTGTTTCATTGTGTTTCTGCAGATGAGACTGAAAGTCACGTAGACTACGAGGACAAGTTTCCAGATTCCTATGGAGAGGCAGACCACCATAGCGAGAGGCCAGAGGCGGCTCAGGGTCAGGTGTACGAGGAGGTGCACGGAGCTGAATACCCACAAGGGGAAAGGCGTCAGGTTCAACAAGAGACAAGCTTCAATGTCGAAGTAGAGGAGGAGCATCAAGACCAACATGGAGTGCCTGAAGTGGAAGAGGAGGTCATCGATACAACATTTGTGGTAGTAGGAGGGGAGAAAGCTACAGAAGCACCTGTGTCTCTTCTCTCCCAGAAACACCTCTTCTGGTTCCCCTCTGAGGCCTTCCAGGATGAGGGACATCCAGCCTCCACCAATCCAGTCACACAGAACACACAGAGAGCTTCAGGCGCCCAATCAGAGGAGAGCAAAGAGCAGGACAGCCAAGAAACGCACCACCACCAGCATCCAGTTGATGTTGACGACCATGGTCACGACGACCATGACGACCTGGACAACCATGATGACGGTGAACAGAGTCACCAGGAGGAAGACGACGGAGATGATCATGTGAAGCATTATATTCCAGATAAGGTTGATGACCAGGACAGACGGGACCGGCACAAAGATACAGACGATCATGAAGACCATTATGACATGGGTGAACACGAAGACGACCGGGATCGTGTTCGCTCCGGAGGTCAAGAGTATGACGATACTTACGATGAACATGAAAGCTACGAAGAGCATGAAGATGTGACTGACGATCGAGAAGACAATGATCGAGAACGTCCTGACGAATCTAAAGAACATCCTGACCCCGATGACAGTGATGACCGTGAGGAGCCTTATGATCCTGAGGAGGAAGATATTGATCGTAACACTGACCACGATGACCATGATGACCACGATGACCACGATGACCACGATGATGCCCACGATGCCCACGATGACCACAATGACCACGATAACTACGATGACCATGAACCCGACGACCATGAACACGATGTCCACGACCACAATGACCATGAACACGATGACCATAACCACGATGACCATGAGAGCCACGAAGACGACAATGACAGTCACCAGCGTGTGATCTTTTCCCAAGAGACGGATATAAAACAGAATGTTACAGCAGAAGAAGAAGCCCCCACAGACGACACCTGGCTGGACGGCTACCCTGTCGTCCTGGAGGAAACAGAGAAAGGGGACTCCACAACAGAAAGGGTTAGACCAGAGGATACAGCGAGGGGGACAGTTGTGAGGACAACTGACAGACCTAATGAGGTGGAAGTTGGTAGACCCGTCCCTTACACCAGCCTACCAGAAGTACCTGCGTCTTCCACAACAGAGCCTGATTTAGCTCAAGGAGGAGAGGAGGAAATGTTGCCGGGCTTCATCCCCACCGCTGCTCCCTCACAGCCCTCCGACTCCCCCTCACACTCAGACACCTTGGACTACGACACCCAACAGGCAGCTCCCACCCACTCCTGGCAGGACGACCTCTCTCAGCACCCCTTCCTGGATCATGGCCCAGTTCCCCCGATGCAGGATAGCGACAGCGGAGTTACAGAAGAGCACACTGTACACATCCTTCCAGGGGAGACCGGCGAGAGGGGTGAGGTGGAGGGAGAGTTGGGGGAGGCAACCTGTACCGGTGAGAACTGCCCTCCGAGGTCCTCCAGCCAAGGTCCCACTGTTGCTGCCATAATCGTGGCGGTGTGCGCTATCGCCACGGCGGTGATCGTTGGGGTGTGGTGCTACTGCCACAAACAGAAGAAGAGCTCAATGTACGAGATGAACGGGAAGGGCCAGAGTCAGAGCAGACAGGGCCAACAGATAGAGATGCAGCAAAAAGTGTAAGGGCGACCAATGATGGAGGGCAGAGACATTTGGGAGGGAGGGGAAAATTCAGAGAAATTTGAGAGGGAACCACAGGCCTTCATCTTGCTAGAAACTCATCAATAAATGAAGATTTTGGATAGGTATGAAGAGATGGGCCCTGTTTTGAAGAGCAAAATGTGGTGAAAATAAAAATTGAGCAAAGCAGTAAGAACTGATGTTTAACACAGTGAAACAAGATCGTTTTTAAGGATTTTTACCTATCTATGATGTACCTATCCAATATTTTCAAAGCTCTGACATCTAGCTGGATAACCGGAGAGGGGCTGGACTCAACTCCAGGAACTGAAAAAGGATATTATAAGGGAATAACCATGTAGGAAAACCACAAGAAAGCATGCCTGCCCGCCTGAATATATGAACTGAGACTTCAGCCTCTTGGACATTGTGGTTAAAGATTCTCTGTGTTCAATTTGTGTTGACTTCATTGATGTTTATTGCTTATTCAGTTGTGTGTTTCCTGATTTTTCCAAATCCAAATCTCTCTCTGATTGCCTGAGAACTGTGTTGGAAAAAATAACAGCTTTATTCCACTTGTTATTCAACGGCAAGAGCGCTGAAGACTTGGGCAGGTTGTCCCAAATGTAGACAAGGTTATTTTGTTATCAGTAAGAACAAAAAGGAGGATGATAGTTAAAAATATGAGAGGGTCGAGTGAGCAGTATGGAGGGAAAGGTGTGAGAAAGAAGGATGGCAGGTGAAACATTTTAAGATCTTCATGCCACTGTTGGTTTTGACAAGGGGCTGCTGAAGGATGAACCATCCAGACTTCAGAGTTATCCCCATGGTGTGTGTGTGTGTGTGTGTGTGTGTGTGTGTGTGTGTGTGTGTGTGTGTGTGTGTGTGTGTGTGTGTGTGTGTGTGTGTGTGTGTGTGTGTGCTTGTGCGCTTGTGCCTGTGTGTGTTTGTGCCTGTGTGTGTGTGTGTCTCAGGTGCGTGCAATCTGCCAATCAGCGGTACGTCGTGTTTGCTGACGGCAAAACAGAGATAAAACATCATGGTGCCTCCATGGTAACATTTAATTTTCTTTAAGAACAATTATATAGGATTTAGTGCCATCTAATGCTGAGGTTGAAGATTGCAAACTAAATATCCCTCCGTTCACCCTTCCCATTTCCAAGAAAGTTGGAGAACTTAAACTGAAAGGCACTCTAGAGCTGGAATTTGGTTTGTCCCTTCTAGGCTACTGTAGAAACATGATGGTGCAGCTTGGCAGATTGCGTTGTAGAGGTACGGCTCCCCATAGATATATATAAACACTAGATGACTCAACCGCGCTGCTGGCCAACGGAGACCGACGTTGCCACATGGCGACCATCTTGCCACAGGCAGCTCGCTCATTCATAACATTATGTCTATGGTGCACTATTGAAATAATCATAGATTGCTCAATTTTCAACCAATTTTCAAACAGATTGGTTTGTTATAAACATCAAAGATGTAGTTATGATACTGCATACTTATTATAATAATGAACTTTTTTTTCAACATGTCTTGTTGTCTCCTGTATTATAGCCATGCTAATAACGTTTATAATAAACCAAACCGTTTGTAAATCAGTCAAGGTTTCAGCAAGAGTATTTTTGTGCAGATCATTTACCTTACAACAGCTGTTGCAGTAGTTATTGACTGTGGCAAGATGGCCGCCAGTGAGCTACGCTGGCGACTCCCCCTTAAGCCATCTAGTGTTTATATATCTATGCGGCTCCTAAAAAAAACAACTAAATATCCCTCTGTTCACCCTTCCCATTTCCAAGAAAGTTGGAGAACTTAAACTGAAAGGCACTCTCTAGAGCTGGAATTTGGTTTCTCCCTTCTAGGCTACTGTAGAAACATGATGGTGCAACTTGGCAGATTGCGTTGTAGAGGTACGGCTCCCTATCTCGGAGGGAACAAGCCCCCAGGAAGTGCGCCGGCCGTTAAAGCAAATGTTCGCAGTGGCTGAACAGTGGTACTACACTGCTGTATTTTCTGTGACTTTTTCTCATTGATTTTCACATTGGAAAAGAGACATCTGTAAATTACTGAACCTTTTATTTTAGCTAAATAAACTACCCAGTACTACAGAGTATGCTTTCAGACCCCTCATATAAATCATGAGGGTCTAAAAGTAGTAAAATGCGCTAAATCCGATCCAGTGTTATTTTCTCTTTCCATTCATTTGACTGAGCGGATAGCAGAGTAAAGAGGCGGGGAAACTCAAGTGCGCATGCTCTATGGGCCTAGGTGCCAGGACGATGCGGCTACTTTTTGAATTTACCCTTGCTCCATTTTTGGCTTCATGTGCATATCATTTCATGCACATGAACTCACTGTTCCTTTTAAGGTTAGTAGCCTACACTTTCTGACGGTTTTGTGAAAATGTGTACATTTGTTGAGTATATGTAGGTAGGCCTATGACTTTGGGTTAATATGGGTTAATAACAGGCGCATGTAATATCTTTCATATGGTGTTCAATATTTGGAATTAAATCAATGTAATTTACCTTCATACTCGTGCTCTGTTATGTTTGTCAAGATAAAAAACCAGAATGAAAGTTTTAAGAGGGGTTTTCTCGACTGGACTTTTAATAACCGCTGTTTTATTTAAAATGTTTGGGACATCAGATAATTTGCACTGTTAGCAAATTTAGTTAGAATTTCACAATGTTTGTGTGGTTACCTCTCCAGTCGTAGTTCAGACTTTCACAGTGTACTATAGCTGCATCATCAGTGATATTCTTTCTCACTGTCTTCGTACTGTGCCAAACACTTAAGAGCAAAGGTCAAATGTAAAAATAAGATAGCTGATAAAAAGTTGCAAATGTAAATACATTAAATAGCATTAGGAGGGTTTGAACTTAGATATTAGAGTTTGTATTTGGTGACGTATAAAGACTACACAAATAATTACTTGGCAATACCTTAAATACGAGGTGTTTTACTTGTAATAAATGTCAAACCTAGGTGACAAAGCACTTCTTGGTGTCATCAGTCATGAACAATCATCAATGTTCCATCATTGTCTCACCTGATTTCTAAAAAGTTGTTTTAAAATGGTATTATTTAGTAACATGTTATAAAATAAGGATTTGTTTGTTTGAGGAAGTGAATACCCACTATTGTTGATTTCATAACAAATATTTCTTACTTTTTTTAATTTCTGTATTTTGGTATCTGAATCGATTTAGTGTCCTAATGTTGCGATGGCAAGGGGAATAAATTACCTACTGTCTTTATGTTTCCGTAAATATGAATCCCTACTAAAATAACCTTCTAAACACTACTTCAGTTCGTTATTTCTTCAAAAAGACAGTCAAGCACAGTTGACTTTAGACATTACAACGTATGTCGTTTTCTTTGCTACAGTCAAACTTTTATTAGATTTTGTGCATCATGATCTTAAAGTACTTTAAAAAATGATGTAATACATGCCCCTGGGTAGTGAAATAGTTTTAGATGATGGTAGACATATTTGAAGTGTCATCTGTGGATTACTACTACTAGTAAACTCCAATATAAATGTCCATACTTTACTGCCCTTTATCTCACCTAGATAAAAATACAAGTGTTGTCCTCGCAATATCATGGATTGTAGATTATTTAGCAATGAACTGTCTGGTCACACATTTTGCAGATGTTCAATTAGACTAATAGTGGTCATCAAGAAGATGGAGAGAGTTGTGATGCAAAAATCACAAATTTGATAGTAACTAAAGGGCGTTTCTGTCATTCACATGATGCTAATATTTCTCCATGTCTGTTTCTTCTTCATCTCAAACAGCCTGATGTGTGTGGTGTCAGGATGAAATGTGTACTGTATACGTGTTCTCCCAATAAACTCCTAAACATGTGGTTTGAACTTTGGTGTCTAATTTAATTTTTGCAAGGTCAGCTTGTAGATCTCAAATAGCATGGCCTATTGTTCATTGTTTGACATACGTTTTTTTATGGGAAAGTGACTGACTTTTTCGTATAAAAGGTGTAACTTTGACCTTTACCCCTGCCATCAGCCTTTAATGTTATGTTTCAGACAAGTGCCCCCTTCCCGCTACTAGTAAACTCCAAGTGCCCCCTTCCCGCGATATACGCCGATCTCTTTGTGATATGTTCAAGAAATGTTCAGAATTTGTTTTAGTATGTTTCAAGAGAAGAAGGCAGCTAATAGGAAGTCATTGTTAAATGAGAAGAGCAGGTAATAAAAGAGACGGGTGGATACAGGCAGCAGAGGAACGCAGAGTCACAGAGGGATACAGTAATACAGCGAGAATGTTCCCCTGTGGGTTTTTAACATCATCATGTGACAAACTGCACAGAGACTCAATGTTCAAACATTATTAAACAACTCAGTGTTTTCTCTGCATGCTGCTCTGCTCAGCAGGAGGACGCTTGCAATCCTGCTGCATGAAGACTCCAGTAAAAAATTATTGGACTGTAACGCTATTATTCACTTGATGAATTGAGCAATCAACTCTCAAGCAAAAGTTTTTTTTAAATGTGTTAAAGGACCCAATTATGCAAATGTTCAGGTTTCATAATTGTATTTTATTTGGCTAATGTTCAAAAAGGTCTTTATTTTTCTCATACTTCCTGTGCTGCAGCACCTCTTTTCACCCTGTGTCTGAAACCAGAGCCCAGTCTGCTCCGATTGGTTAGCTGGCCGCTTAGAGATGTTCTACTCCTTAGCATATCACGTACGAATGTTGGAGCGCTAGCCAATAGAAGCGCAAGTGTTAGGTAGTGATGTCACTTTGTTACAGAAGTAAACAAAGGAGTCCAATGGAGGTGTTTCAGGCAGGGGGGACAGAAACTCCCTCTGGAGGGAACTTTCAGACCATTTACATGCACAAAAACCTAACACTCTACAGGAGAGGGAAAACCCCAAAAAAGCATAATAGGGACCCTCTAATTTTTACAATTGACCACACCGTGAAAACCAGCATCTGTAGTATAACAACAAAAAGACTGATGTTTGGCAAGTT